TAATCGTTTAAATATATTGCTAAAATAGTTAAAAGTACATTTTTTTTTCGGTTAAAATTGGTTACTTATTTCTGCAGTTTTCGGTTTAGCAAATCGCTTAAAGTATCTGGGAATAAAACTGAGCAGTCTAACAGTGAAAGTACAAGCTTAGCTTTATAAAACCTATTCGGATATGTCCTAGCACTGTTTAATCTAAACAAAAGTTGCAGCAAAGATTTGTACACACATTGTATTGAGCCGAGACTCTCGAATATGACAAACAACACTTCAGTAGAGCAGTATTCAAACAAATTGTTTTTATTGACTTGAAAAAAAAAAGCAATTTTTTTTGTTTTTGTAAAAAAAGAGTGGGTTGAGAGAAGTTCAGATAAGTATCCAAATAATCAAATTCTTTTTTAGATTCAACAGTTCCTTTTTGTTGTTGTTTTTGTTACAATAGTTAATTGAAGAATGAAAAATTTTTAAAGCAAAAATCATTAAATTTTTTGGTAGCTTTTTGTTGTCACTTTTTAAGTGTACAGAAATCTGCGGCATAATAGTCTAACAACTAATTAGGCATACACTTTTTGGGTATTCAATTTTTAGAGAAAAACAAATTTTGTAATTATCTTAACTGCAGCAGAAAACTTACACCTGTTTTAATACCAAAAAATATCATATTGTCGGTAAAAATCACTTCAACTGCTATTTTTTTTTGCTTTATCATTTTCTTTGAAGTGAATGTTTTGCAACAGTTTAAGTCAATCCTTCAGTTGTCATCGCTTGATAAGTTTGACTTTTTGTTTAACTGACGAAAAAACCCGGTGAACAGAAGTCTGTCTAAACTGACAAATGTATACAGTTGCTAAGACAGAAGCAACAAAAACTGATCAACACTTCAGTTAGTTACCTTTCAATAAACTTAATAAATAAACAAAAAAAAAGTATATGTTCCCAGAAAAGAAAAAAAAAATTTATTTAGATCTCTAAATTAACAACTACAGTTATTTTCTCTTTTTTTTTTTTGCCCCCTATTTTTTGTCTTCAAATAACCATCAACAACAGCTTAGGCTATGACTATACCAACTGCAACAGTGAATTTATGCAATCAGTTTGTGTTAATTCTTGAATCATTATTTGCTAGGTTAAGACTGTTTTATCTACTGTTTATATGCATCGTAAAACAGCAAAACAAGAAATAAATTACAAAAAAAAAAAATCTATAGTAAATTAATAGCAATCATAAATTCTAAATAATTTAGAATTGCCTGTTACTTCTTCATCTTTTTTTTTTGATCAATTAAAAAAAGTCAAACAATTTTTATAAATCTTTTTTTTTTTTTTTTGTTTTCTTTCTTATACTTCCTTTCTTCTTAACTTTTCTTGTTCAGAATCATTTCGAACAAATCGTAATCAAAAATTTAAACCTTAAAAAATTTTTTTTGCCCATTACCGGGAAAAAAAAAAAAAAAAAAAAAAATTTTGCGCTCTGATTAAATTGGCTAGAAAAAAAAAGTTTTATGCCAACATTACTTACAGTTTTATTTTACCATTTCTTTTTTTATGTTTTAATTTCCTTGATAGTTTTTTTTGGCAGTCATTAAATTCTATTTTTTTTTTCCATATACAAATCTCTACAAACAAATATTTGTAATTTATTTTGAAAATATATTGTGCTGTTACAGTTTAGCAAATGGAAAATTTTACTTGGATTACTGTAACAGTGAGACGGATACATTGGCTTTACCCATTTTATTTTACCTGATCAAAGCAGTAACAAAGGTTTCGGTGAGAGTTTCAAACTGTTGTTGGTGGCTTAATTCAACATTATTCCACCTGATTTTTTTTCCCATTTTTTTTGTACCCAATCTTACCTATATGTTAAAAAAATAAAAACAAAAGGTGGGTAGGAGTTTGTCACCAAAATACTACCGATTAAAGATAGTTTGAATTAACAGCTTCTCAGAAAAAAAACCAAGAAAAGAAAGCCATTTTTGATATATTTTTTGAAGATAAGAAAAAAGTTAAAAGATAAAAAGTAGCAACAACAATAATCAGCATAATTTTGATTTATTAATAGGCTACATTAAAAAAAAAAGACATTATTTTAATTAAAAACAATATTTTAGTTGGCATTTGCTTTATTTTTTTTTGCTTCTCCTCCCAGCAGTTTCCCACAGTGTACCAATAAAAAATATGTTTATTAATATTAATAGGTATAGTTTGATATCATCTGAATATATATATTTTTTTGCACCAACAGATGGAATTTTTTCTCTTTTGCTTTTGCTTTTGCTTTTGCTTCTGCTTTTTTTTATTTATTTTTTTTATTGATGTATACTGCTGATCAATGACATTCAACAAAACTCACATTTTATGCATCTATAAATAGTCATAGTTTTTTGTTGTTATCTCAAATTTCAATGTTTTTTTCCGTTTCGTTTCGTTTCGTTTCGTTTTGTTTCATTTTTTTCTGCTTTACTTACAGCCAAATAAAATTCTACTAAACATTGTTGCAAAACCTTTTTTTTGGATATTACACCTAAAAAAAAAAAAAAA